TGTAATATAAGCTGCAAAAATTCCTGACACAACACACCATGAATGCTAGAAGTTTATATAGCTTCAGGGAGACAGAACTGGACTAACCTACATAAACAAAATCCATACAGAGGTACAACACACATCGAAGGCAACTTTGGGTCAGAAAGCTCCAGAGCAACAAGGTGCAGAGCATTTGGATGAAGCATCACTAGGTTTTTGCCTTGCTCCTGTACTGCCATGCAGTCTTCTGCTGCTCCCTGAAAGTAGGGACAGGGTTAAATGATTCAATGTGATACATGTTCCTACAGTATTTCTTTTTCAAAAAAATAGAAGAGCAATTCAAACACCTTTCAGATCAATTATATCTGTGCACCTACACTCATCAGCAAATCCAGGTTTTCTCAATGAGCAACCCAAATATGCTTAACAAGCCCATACAGAGTTAAATGACACTGCTCTCTATTAAAGACCTAGCTAGAATTAGTATGATTTACCTTCCTTAATTTTATGTGAACATTTCTGTGTCTGTTAGCCGGCAATTAGTCCCAGGGCTAGGAAAGGACAAACCCTGGGTTTCTGTGGGCAGCTCGCTCACACGGCGCTGCACATGTTCTCTCACCAGGCTGCTGCAAGTCCCTGCCCCACCAATGTCTTCACTGTGGTGAGGTCCCCTGGTCTCTCCAGGCTGCCATACCCTCACCCCAAACACCTCCTTGTTTGACCAGGAAAAACATATGCAGCAAAGCAGTGACTCCATTCCAGGACCTGTTCCCTGCCAGTGTCACTGGGAACTCCACGCAGCCATGTGTCAGGGACATGGAACAAACTGCCCCAAACCCACAGGACATAAGGCTCTTTTCTAGACCTTCTAATGTGAGCTGATTTATGCTCTGGCAATAATTGTATTTATATCCAAATATAATTTTTATAATACACTGAAATATGAGTCCTTGAAGTCACCCAACTCCTCCCTGTCTCAAAGAAGTCTCTCCAGTTATTTCCATCCTCTGATAAATGTTTACTTCTCTACCCAGTGCCTATAGCCTCCAGTGACAAGAGATTTTACAACTTTCCTAACCAGTCTCCATCCTTAGGTATTATAAATAAAAAACCCCACCCATTCTCTCATAGATGAAGTCTTCACAGACTTCCCATTACAAATTTACTCTTCTTGTTGCAGATGACCAAAATCAGAAAAATATTCTTGTAAGTACATGTCATGGATTTACAATTGTTTCTGTATTCTTCTTAGTAAGGCTACCAGTTTCCTTGCTTTCTTAGCAGCAGCGGTTGCTGCTACACACTGGGCAACCCACAATGACATCCCAGCCTTCCTCCTGAATGGTCTCAGTTCATTTAAAACACAGAAACTTATGAGGCAATGCAAAAAGTGTTTATGAAATTCATTGCTTATCCCCTTTTCCACATCACTGATAAATCTACTGGACACTCCAAACACATCTTTGGGGCACCAGACCTGTCTTTCTGTCTGTTGTAACACTGGCAACAAGTTATTTATCACTATATTAAAATATTTGTTGACATGATGGCATGCTTTGAGAACCCTCTTTCACTGTACTAAACACCATTTCATATCATACAGTTGCTGTACTTTGAATAAAATTCTATGACCAAATTTGAAAGGTAGATAACCAGACAAAAAGAAGAATGATGATAAGCAAAGGAGTCACAGAAGTGATACATATGTTTGTATAAATTAGCAGTCTTTATGTATAACTAATATTAAACTGTACAGATTAGCAGGAGCTACAAAAAAAAAGGTGTATTAGCAGAAAATAAATATGGATAAGGACTTACATTAACAGGAAGAGCTTCCTAAGCCCAGCATAGAGGACAAAGAACAAGATCACTATGGGAAAAAGAAGGTGATTTGAACTGACAGCAAGTATATTGTAAATACAAATATGACTTGTTAAGAAAGGGACATAGACCTTTATAGGTGCATCTTAGATATAAAAGTTAAACAGATTGGTTTTGGAAGGAAGATGAAGTGGGAACAGAAAAAGGACACAGCAGCTGATTAAAAAGGTCAGAACGACAGGACAAGAAAACGAACCTCTCAGCAGCTTCTTGTGTGAAGATGACACAGTCAAGGTCAACAGGACAAAGCACCAAAGAGAAGATTGCAGCAACTGAGTCGCAAGAGGACGGATATCTGGACAAGAGCTTTGACAAGATCTGCACCATGGACCTTCCCAAGGTGATAGGGGAAGATACCTGATTGAGTAAGGCAAAAAAAAGGAGACAAAGGTAACATCCGTTGAAGGGATCCAGCCAGCAGAGAGGCCTACAACAGGGTCCAGAGGAATGGCCTGCAGGAAAATGAACAACTTGGTTTGGGTCAACAGAATTTAAGGCAATAGCTGGACACCCAGAGGGACATGTCATAAAGACAGCCTGAAATGTACTACTGGACAGCAGAAAATGCGTCAATAAAGAAAGAAATCAACATAAATGTGGTGATTAAAGACATATTTATCCATAAAGGTGCTAAAAATACAGAGGAACAAAAATAAGGACAAAGTAAAGAATGAAACCTTTGGGAAAAAATCCTCTCTTTTCACAAAAATAACGTGCAAGATGTATAAAATAATTTTAAAAGTAAATAACTAAAAGAAATTTAATTTTTTTAAGAAGAACTGCTAACCAGAGGTGCAACAAACTATCATGAACTCAAGCAGATGAGAATGACTTGAGATTTTTGACCTGTAAGTGGTATCACCTTTCAGAGATATCCTATTTGACTGGGACACACAAGGAAGAAGACATTGTCCAAGCTGGCAATATGGAAAAGAACAAAGGCAAGATCAAGTGCAGAAGAGCAAAGGGCAAAGTGACCTTAGCAAAGGAACATATGTTTCGAGAAAGGTCAAGTGAATCCAAAAGCTAACTGCCCTTAGGAAATGCAGCAAAATTATCCTGTTCATTTAAGTGTTCAATAGCAAAACAATTTCTCACAACATTCTACCTCTATGTGCCTCCAGCAATTTTGGGCAAGGGAAAAAAAAAAATAAGAAGAAAAAAAAGAAGCCTGCAAAAAAATGAATAAAAATGTTATCTTAGAGAAAAAAAACATATATATTAAGAAGTTCTTTGCAGAGATTTTTTCCTGAAATTAGAGCAGAATCTGACTCCAAAGAAGTCCAGTAAAGTTTGCTATGTAACTTGATTTTTCAAGGAATGAATTCAGGTGCTGACACACTATGGATAGTAACAGTCAGCAATATGTAAACTCAAGGTAATTGCTAGGATGGCACATTCTCTGATTTGGTAGAATTCAGGACCTGAAGAGACAAAATTAAGACATGACTTCTTAAATCTTTTTTAAGTAATGGAAGGCAGACTACCCCAACCTGTGTTTTGATCAAAATTAACCTGAGATGAGGAAAAAACTAAAGGAAAGAACAGGGGAGGAAAAACAGAACTAAAGGAGATCATCATGGAGGAAAAGAGAGGTGTTCAGACAACAGAATCACAGACCAGAAGCCTCATCCTTGCTAACAAGTAGGGGACAAACAAATGCAGATATTCAAGATGCCACTAGTGCCAAAACTCCCAGGGCAGAAAAGGCAGATTTTCCTAGTATCCAAATAAGTAATGGAAATTAGTTCTGCTATATTCATTCTGGCGTAAATTAAAGATTCCTATGCTGAAGAGGCCAGTATGCCGCTTTTACATAAGTCCATATAGACATGGAAGAAGCAAATACCCCTAACTGGTTTTGACACTCTTTTTGATACTAAAGGAAGTCCACTGGTGTGCAAATGCCAACAGAAACCTTGGAAAAGGCAAAAGCATCCCTTACGCCCACCCCTCCAAACTTGCCTACGGTTCTGCCCAACTACAGCCAACCTGGGCCAGACCACCTCAATGAACCCATATGTCCACACCAAAACCACTGCTCACCTGCTCCCCAGCCAGCCCTCTGCACCCACCAATCTTGCAGACTCCTCCTCTACCCTGGCACCACCTCAGCTCTTCACTGTTCTCACCAAGACAGAATGCCACCTGAAAGCCCTTAGCCTTGCAAGTCCCACCACATCCAGGATCTGCAGGACACACACTAGTTCCAACACATCTGGATTATGCCTGAATTACAGAGACAACTGAGGAGCCTGCAGTGAGCTCCACTGCTATGATCTGCACAACAGCCCCCATCTGATGTCTTAAAAAAGGTGTCCAAGGAGGTGCCAGAATGCTCAAGAGCAAAAACACCCAGGACTATCAGTAGCCAAACATCTGCATTCCTCAGGGCTCTTTAACAGTCTTATTTTTGTTAAATGTGTATCAGTACAAGAAAACCAAATGTTATAAATGGTGACTGCTCTCAATCACTAGAGTCATTTAAGGAACATCGTTTCCAATGGCAGCAAAACAGGGTTAGCACTTCCCCTTAAATGGAGATCGAAGACCTGATTCTTAAACAAAAGCTGGAAGATTCGTAAAGGTCTGAAGGATTGTTTTAATTTAACACAGCACCCTGAAATTCTCTCATGGGTGAGTTCCCATAGACTGTTACAGATCTGCAGAGCTAATCTCTTCAAGCCCCTGAAAGTCACCTGTTAAGTAGCCAGAGGATACACAAGAGCCAAGACTGGAGACAAGAACCAGAGGCAGCACCACAAGGCTTCATCAGGCTTTCATCAGAATTGTTTTTCAAAACACAAGTTTGATTACAGAACAAAGTGTCCTACAAGCCCATTTGGGTCAGATCCAGTGCAGATTCTGCACCATGACCAGGCTCAAAAGCATGCTATTCACCATTCATGGAGAATCAAAGCAAAAATCACAACACACATCCCCCCAGACACAAGTCTACATTATCAATGAATCAGTGCATATTCTGGGGCTTTACCGACCCCGGTGCTCTCCTGGCGAGGCAGTTACCAGCGCCCCAGGAGCACACTGCAGGAGCCGATCCAGCCCAGCACAGAGCCTCCAGTTTCCACTCATCCCTCTATTCAGAGCCAGCCAGCTCACTAACTTTCCCGACTCACCACCCCATGGACCAGAAACTCAAAAAGTTTGCTTTTCGTAGCTTTGCGAGCCCCTCCTGTAACTTCGTCTGTAGCCATCAGGGTCTGCTCAGCCTCTCTCACTCTCTCTCTTCCTCTTTCTTTCCCTTTTCTGCCTTTTTCTCCAACTCTCCCCTCTGAGTCCTGCTGGGCTCTCACACTTCTAATAGCGCGGAGTGGGGAGGGGGCCCCTTCAGGGCCTTCCTGACGGCCCACTCGCTCTCAGCCTCAGCTGCTGCATTCCTCCACTGATAAGCCAGAAATAGTTTGTGCTGCCGGGTTCTGTGTGTTTACTCTGCAGGGACAGAAAATCCAGCTTTTTAAACCTCTCTGTCCAAACAGCAGAGATAAGCAGGAGGCAAATTGAAAACACGTCTCAGCTTTTTCATAGCAGTGCTGCAGCCTCTCCTCCTCTGCACCAAGGGATGGTAAATTCTGGGGCAGGGGGGAAGGGGGAGGGGGCAACTTCAGCAATGACATAAAACTCGGCACCTCAGAGGGAGCGTTTCCCCAATAGAAAATACAGCAGGCGAGCAGTGAGAAACAATGGTTTTCCCTTGCTCCCACTGCTCCTCCTGCACTGCATTTCCAGGCCTTTTCCCTAGGGAGCTGGCAGGCAGCACACAGAAACATTCACTGGCAGCATTTCCAGCATGAGAGACTGAGAACTAACCCCTTTGGACAAGAGAGAAACAGCAGGAGACAGAAAGCTGGGAACAGGGAGGGGGGTG